GATGACCTCGACCTATCCAGCCCGGCGGCGGTTAGACTGTCGCAGCCGCGCCGGCACAACCACCGGCGCGCAGCGGCCGCCTCCTCGGCCCGCCACCCGGCGCGGTGAAGCGCCTTTTCAATTTGGCGCAGCCCGGCCACCTGCTGCACCTTGGACTCAAAGCCGGTCCCAAAGACGGCCAGGTCCACGTCGGAGCTCGGCAGGCAGAGCCCGGTGGCGTAGGACCCAAACGGCCTCACGCTTGCACTCGCAAAGGACGGCAGCGAGGCGAGAAGGCTGACCACGCGCTCGACCGCGGCCTCGCGCATTGCAGACTCTGCGCGGGTCGGGCGGAAGGCCTCGGCAAAGTCGAGCAGCTCCTCGTGCAGCGCCAGCTCGAGGGAGTCGGCGCCAAAGTGGGCACGCGTGATGCTCCACGCGTCCGGTGCGGGCTGCTCGCCGGTGTCGCTGCTCGACGCCGCCGCCTCACAGGCAGCAGGCGTTTCGGGGATCTCCTCGTCCGGCAGCAGCGCGATGAAGTCGAGGGCCATGCCGGTGCCGGCGAGCTCGCAGCGTGGGACTGGCACGCGCCTCTCCACCCCTCTCAACCCCACGCACTCTTCACAGCCTTGTTATTGAGAAGAAAATACCTCCTACGGCGCTGTGCGCACAGGGGCACTCACAGCACACTGTGAGAGCCCCAAGCAAAGCCGCCCTGCAGCTCGTTGGCAGTCCTCGTTTTCGACTTTGGCCGCCCCGCGTCGGCCAGGTGCGTGGTCCCCGACCCAAAACTCTTCGCCGGCCCCACCAGCCAGCTCGACCGACTCGACCGCCAACCGGCTGGGTTTGACCGGCGGCGCGACGCGTGGCCTGTGCTGCGGCCATCTCGTACGCTCAAGCGGCGCCTACCACACCGCAGAGGCTCCCTGTTGGCATGGACAATCCCACTGGCGAGACCATGGACGTCGAGACGTGAGCCAGTCTGTGAAAAACAACACTTTTTGCGATTTTCGAGCCCGGGGTTGGCGACGTTTATGACTATACTTTTGTCTGTGGTGATGCCTTTCCCTGAGAACGCACAAAACGCCTCGTGTGTAATGCCCTGTGTTCCGCGAGTGCGTGTGCCCCGTCGTCCATTAGGACGTGTGTAACTAACACTGACTGACTGACTGACTGACTGGTTGGCGTTTATGTCCAGTTCTGTGAAAAAAGCCCGATGACGCCTCACGCGGCGTGTACGCGTACCTGTCGCGCACCTCCTCGAAGCTCTCGTGCAGCGATGACGACGAATCTGACAAAATCTGCGTTTAAAAAAAGAGTCGTAAAGCACCGACCCAAGCACGACCCAAGCACGACCAGGTCGCGACCAGGTCGCGTCGTGTCACAGACACATATGGTCGCACGATCTGCTTCCCGAGTTGCCCGTCGCGGGCTCGTTCGCGCTCGCGGCTCCGAGCGGAGCAACGCGAAGCTCACCGTCGACGTCCTCCACGCCGCGGGTGCGCTCCCGGCGGCGGCTCCGGCTCCGGAGGGCGACTACAAGCACGCGGCGCCGTTCGACGAGGCGCTGCATCAGCTGAACAACGCAACTCGCCCCATTAGCGAGGACGACGTTGTCACGCTGTGCGCGCTCGTTCGTCGGCTCGCGATGCTGGCGGGGGACGACGCCGACCTGTGGAAGGCGCTCGTGCTCACCGTGGTGCGCCGGCGGTTCCACTCACGGTCGCCCGAGGCGCGAGCGGACGCCAAGTCGGAGGCGGAGGACGAGGCTGCCCTGGGCGACGGCGAGCGACTCATCTTCTACGTGGCATTCGTCGTGATCCTCCACCTGCTGCGGGAGGACGGGCATCACGGACTCGCCGCCAAGGCTGCGTCGGTGCTCTGCTCGCTGGCGCCCTTGGCCGGGGGCTCGCGCGACACGTGCACGCTGCTCGAGCTGGCAGCGTACGATGCGCTCCAGTCCACCGGCTTC